CTCTCTCTCTCTCTCCCTCTGCTACTCCGTTCCCCGCGCTCCGGGGCGAATCAAGCCAGGCGTGACCACGGCAGCTAGACGCTGTCCGACGCGACCTGCGTGTGTATGAGGGGGGCGTGGCGGGGCGTGGCGCGGCGCGGCGCACCGAATATCGACAGGAGGTCACACCGGACGCTGCCCCCTCTGCTCCCTCCCCTTACACTGCGTGCGCTTGCTGCCCAGCCAACAGCCAACGGTACATATCTGCCACGGGACTATATACTATATAGGAAAGACGGCCCCCAAAACAAAACAAAAAAAAAACTCATTGGTTCCGGTATTTGAACTCGCGCACTCGTGGGTCAGAAAGAGTGATCATTGCTATTTTTACTGCCCTTGTTAGCAGCACGCGTGCGGGTGATACAGTGCGCGCGCCGAGCGCCGGATCAGTGAGCAGAACGCCCCTCACATCGCCACGCCCCGCCCCGCCACACCGCAAGCGGTTGCCGCGCCGCCTGCCCAACGATGCGACGCTCCTAACCCGGTCCAGACACCTCCCAGGCCGCTCCCTCCGGCTCCCTCTGCGCGCCTAAAGCCCCGTCCAGCGACGGACACGATAATTAGCGCCAATTTATGCAAACGAACTCGACAAAGTCCGAGAGGCATGAGGCACCACCAGCGCACCACTCTGCCCGGGCCCAACCCGGGCCGCTTTTGCACATCCGCACTCATATGCGTTTTAACCGCGAACTTTAAAACGTATTACAAAATAAAAAAAAAGGGTACGGAGACCAGGAAGCAGCCTGCGCCCCTAGACACAAAAAAAGGCACTCTGGTAATGTTAACACAGTTGCACTCTTACAAGAGCAGAATGAAATGTCCCACTGTCCTAAGGGCGGTTTATGCCTATTCTACTCTTCAGTTGTTCTGCTCATGACGCGTTTTCCTACTGTTACACGATTGGCACAAGCTCGATCTAATCTTGTAAAAGTGGGACATTTCGTTCTACTCTTGGAACAGCGGGACTGTTCAGCTGTTGGATTCACAGAGTGCAAGGGGCATAAAAGCCGAAAATGCATTACAAACAACGTGCGCTGCTTGGCAGATTACAATTACTCTTCCCGACCAGCAGCCGGTCTCGTCTTCAATGGGTGATCGAGACGGCCCCGGGGTCCCTCCGCAGCGCACAGTGCTCGCGTGTGCAAGTAACAGGTGGGAGGCGCGCGGAGGCGTGGACAGACCCTTCTACCCCCGGCCCGCCGGCCCCGCCCGCCCCGCCCCGCCGCACTGAGCAGGGGGTCTCGTTAGAAAGGCGTGCCCCGCCCGCATTCAGGAGTACCAGCTCGACTACTTGTTACTCATCAAATGCCATTTAACGTGATTATTGGCGCTTTCGCCTGAGGGCAGCTCACGCAGTCTTTTCACACTTCGTTCGACGTTTAGTTTTGTCAGGATGGACAATGGGGAAAGGGGGAAAGATTGGGTGAAACGACGAAAATCGGGGAAAACACGGCATCAAACTCTTTCGTCACAGCAAAAACTATTGTTTGACAACAGTTTTCATTTAGTGATAAATGCTCTATTTGTTATTCAGTTATTCTAGCTTTCAAGCGCTCAAGGAATTTTATTAAAGTGTTTCGAATCCAAAAGCTTGTGTCACATAAATGAAGTAGACACTATTTGGTTCTTTGGGATAAAACACCACCAGATAAATTGAGCTAATTCTAGAAAGCAGCACTATAATAGTTTCTTTTTAAAAAAACGAGCTGATAATTGTTTATATTGTTAAGACGAAATCTCGAATCTGTCAACTATGGCAGTGCTGACGTCGTAATGACCATCGATTCTCACTTCAATACACGGTACTCACCTTCCTCGATGGCGCGGCCCTGGCCGTCGGTGCTCTCGGTTTCCTCGGTGGCGGCGGCGTTGGCCTCCTCCTGCTCCTCATCCTTCTTGAGGTACTCGATCATCCTGGCGGTGCCGTCGTGCAAAACCTCCAGGATCGACTCATCCTTCTTCTCTTCCAGGGCGGCGGCGGCAGCCTCTTTCTTGGCGACGTGCAGCTCCTTAAGGGCGCGCGCCGAGTTCTCCCGGAGGCAGCCGACGGAGTCCTCCTCCCAGACACAGCCCAGGAGGGCGGTCCATCCGGACGACGTCGACGGCGAGGTGCTGGTCGCGGCCTCGACGGCAGGAGGCGCGGCTTCACCGGCGGCAGCGCCAGCCACAAGGGCGGCGGCGAGGACGAGGTACGCGAACATGGTCACTCACTGGTTCACTACTGACTGCACTGGGCGGACCGGCTGACCGTGCTGACTCTGCGAGAGGCGACGCTCCACTGTGAACGAATCGGACGGCCGGCGTAGTTTTACCTGTTACCCAGGTAAACAATCGCGCCGGGCCCCCTCCACCGACGCCCCCCGTCCACGGCGCAGCCGCCGCCGCCGCCACTGCTGCCGCAACCGCCGCAACCGCCGCCGCGCCCGGCGTGAACGGCGGCGTGCCCGTCGAGGACCCGGCGGGGTCCGTGCGCCCCTCCCCGCGCCACCGCGCCCCTCGCCCGGTGCACCAATGAACCAGGCCGGGCGGCAACGGCACCGCCTGTGGTAGAGGGGGTGGCGCGACGGATGCGCTCAATGGTAAAAGCCCTGCATGAAAGTTTTTAAATATTTGCACGGCAGCCTTTCTCACAGACACACACACAAACACACGCGTGCGCAGGCAGACACGTTTCCGCGATCCGACGGCCTGCACCCGATAGGCGCCATCACGGGCGATAACGCCGGGGGTTGTTGCTCTATGGCGATGAGGCGCAGCGCAGGGCCGCGCCCCGCCACGCCCCGCTGAGTGCGCGTGTGTACGGATCCTCTCCTCTCTCACTCACCGCGAGGCAAGGCGGGGGCTCCTCGAGCCGTGGGGACCCTGCGGGGACTTTGTACCTGCCGAAGGAAAGGAAAACAATCGGTTAATGACCAGAAGCCGATTTGAGGTTGAGGCTTTGGGGAAGCCATAGACGCGTAGCCACCGGCTATAGCGGTGAGGCTCGGCTCTCTTCCCGGATAAGAGCGGGTGCGTATGAAGCTCCAGGACGAGGTGTGTGCGTTAGGGAGAGAGAGAGAGAGAGAGAGATATTTAATTTGATTTATTGGTATATTTGGTACAAAAGGACTAAAGAGTCCAACAGGAGTACCATTAGTACTGTTCAAGGTTCAATCACAGTCGAAGCTAAATTACATAGAGAGAGAATGTGTCTGTGGATACGTGTGGTGTGTGTGAATTTGCCAAATTACTCGCACTGAACCTTTCACTGTTGCGTAGGTGCTCGTCGCGAGACGACAGACGCCACAGCTCCCTGTGAAAATTCACACCGGAAAGGAGGTGTGACTCATCCGGCCGCTAAACGTGGCAGGGCTCTGTGC